CGCGGCAGCGATTCAGCAACCGCACGTTTCTGTCTGAAGCAGCAGTTCCCCATCACACTAATGCGGTGACAAAGCGCTGACGTTACTATGGCAAAGACTTCTCTGCTTCTTACTCACGGGTCTGTGACTCAGCCACGGGCAGGAGCAGGCTCCTCGCTGGGGAATTCGCTGGGAACCAGGCTCTGCCTCAGCACCCTACTTGGCCAGAGCCCGGGGCCGGCGGCTGCTGGCAGAGCGGAGCAGCGAGCTGTCCCGGGGGCATCGTGGGTCCCTCTCCCAGCAGTCCCCACTCTTGGTATTTAGGGAAAATGATGTGAAATCCAGGCAGCAGATCCTGCCTACATCTAGAGATATGTTCAAGCTACCACCTCGCCTCTCATAATGCCAACAGCTCCGGCCCCCTCGTGCGGTTTTGCTCCAAGCACCCCGTCCAGGAAAGGGGTCCCTTGCTGCTCTGCCTCCATAAGCAGCCACGGGGCCTCCACGGCTGACATGGCTTCCTAACCACGACTGCGGTGGACATGGAAGTCTCTGTCAGCCATGCCTGGGACCAGACATCTCCCATCATCACAGCATACTCTTAAATCAAGTGATTACCACCGAGGCCATGGGAAGGTGCCAGGACCATTTGCTATGGGCACTTTGGTGCTCATTTTGTCCTATTTCAGCCCATGGGTTCTCTGCTCTCTGCCTGCCACCAGGTGTTTTTGCAGGAGCATCCAAGACTTGGTGCCACTTGAGCCAAGACCACTGAGGAGACAGGCTGTGCACAGCGAGGACATCAAACCCTGCACGAGGGGTCGTTCTGTGCCTGCTCCTCCACGCTGTCCTCCCCGGCACCTGGTCCCCAGCCAGTCCCCATCGTGCTGACTCCCAGCCTGGCAGGGATGGGCAGCTCTTCCTCCACCTCTCCTCCTGCCATCCTGGGTGCTGGGCACTGCCTCCCACCGCTCAAGTTCCCCTGCACCATCTGTCCTGGAGGAGGAGATGGAGATGCCACCAGCCCTCAGGCACGACATCTCTCTAGCCTTCTGCCTCACAGGCAGAGCAGCCGTCCTGACAAATTTGGGCTCTCCTTGTACTCACTCGCCACCTGACGTGGCAGCAACAGCCAAAACAGCTTCCAAACCCCACTACCGACATGGGTACGACCCATCAGCATCGGTCTCAGCCTGTCCTAAAAGCAGGACCAAGCAGTCCCAGACCGGAGTGACGTAATGACACGTATTTGACAACGCACCAGGACTAGGTCTAACCACAGAGTGACTCCCCTGCTCTGCTGCGGGAGCAGCCAGCAGCGATGGGAAGGGACAGAGAGATGACCCCCCAAGGCAGCACCTCTCTGCCCACCGTGGTGAAGAGGGTCTCAGTTCCCCATCCCAAGACCAAGGCTCTGCACCAAGGCAAGGCAGACTTATTCACCCTCCAGAAGAAGGGGCCACCACGCTGTCCTCCTGAAGCAGCTTTGCTGTGCGAAGCCAGCACCACCCAAAGAAGCAAGGAATTGCAGAGATGTTGCTCAGAGGGGGCCAAAAGATTGGTCCTCCAAGCAGGCCCAGCACCAGCCCAGGAGATAACTCGCCCATCTTTGCTGCACAAGCCAGCAGTCACTAGACCGAAGCGACAATCACACCGCAAAGAGGTCCCGGTGAAGATAGTCCCTAATCTCCAACCACCAACAAAAAGAGCAGCTCTGAGGACACCATGTATCCCAATGCCCTGCTTTCCTTAAATGCCGAGATTAGAGAGGGCAGCGTGCAGAAGGTCAAGGCTAAGTGACGCTGATGCCTGGGACAGATTCGAGCCGCTCGGCAGCAAAACCAAGCCAAAACACACAGCAAGGCAGATAAAGCAAAGCCTCAAGGTGGCCTGACCCTGCCCCAGCACTAACAGCCTGCCTGTCCCACGGTGCCGCCGGCTGGCAGGGACACCCCGATCCATGGGGGTGCTTGCAGAGGGAGGAGGGTGAGGACCTGTGGCACCCAGCCCTGCTAAGCCAGGACCACAGCGGGATTCCCCTCCTCAAACAGGCTGGAGAAGGGTCTCGTGAGCGCTGAGCAGCTCGGCGGAGAGGGGAAATGGGGCTCTGTGAGCAGGCACAGCCCATGTGCAGCTCCCTGGCTCCTGTGTACTCTTTTCCAGGGGGAGAACCCCTCCAGAAAATGGATGTGTCTTCAAATTAAACCCCCAAACACAGCATGTAGGAGTCTACGGACCATACGGGCTCTGGAGAGGCGGAAAAAGGAGCATCATCACACCACACACCTTTGCCTGTTGCAACCCAAATCCTTCTCCTTCTTAACGCTGGATGCTCCCTGGATGCTCCGAGGGAAGGTTCCCCCCAGGTCCCCAAAGCTCCCCTGGCTCTGGCCAGCCGGGGTTCAGCACACAAGGGGAAAAGGGGCCACCGAAACGCCCGGCCCCATCCCACGCAGTACTGTCTCAGCATGGGGAACGGGGACATCCTGCTCTGCACTGCGCTATGCCACGTTTTGGGGACAGAGGGACTTTGCCAGGCTCTGCTTCCCATCCCGCACCGGTCACTGCCTGTCCCCGCAGCTTCTCCGAGTCGCCTGCACGCTGCTGAAACCCGGTGTCACACCTACCTGGAAGAGGAGGCTACAATATTAATGAGCCCCATTTGGGAAATGAATGAGATCTGCTAATTAAGTTTACTCTCATTAAGCAAGAGGAAGAAAAGCAGAGCCACTGTGTTTCCCCACACATGATCAGCCATAGCTGCTGGTGGTGAGGTCAGGGAATAATCTGGGATGTCATGGCAAAACTAGGCGATGCCACGCTGCCTCGCCACGTGCTTCCTCCGCAGAGGTCACAGCTGACTACCGGGTAGAGGATGAGATCTGGAGGCTCAGTTTGCTCGGGAATATATTTAGGAGTCAGGAAGGAAGGTCTATGGCAATTTAATCTCAGTTGTTCTTTTATTTTATTCAGCTTTCTGGCATCTGCTGTTGCCACAAAACAATAGAGCACAATAAATAACAGCTGAACGTGCATTGTTCTTCTCCACAACCGAATCCCATAGCCTCCAATGCTCAAAAAATAAAATGATGATGCTGATATAAACTGCAAGTGAGAGTGAACAATTAAGACTGGAGAAGTCTAGCGGCTGCCTTGGAGGGACGGATGCAGGAAAAAATGTGGTTCTGCAGAAAAACACTTCCGTGATATAATTTCTGCAACATTAGGAAGCAGAGTAAATTAATATACACCAGCTCCACTGCCAGCTAAGCTGTATGATCTTATTTCAGATTCTTCCCAGTAATGAACAATGATATCTTTCTAATGTAACATTTTATATTCAGAGGGCTTGATGCACATTTCATTCCAGTCTTTATATCGGTTTTGGGGTCTTTTATATAGTTTGTTTGCTTTGTTTCTAAAAACAATTCAGTGAAACATGGGAACACAGGAGTGTCTCTGTGCATAGAGAATTAATAAAAAAGAATCACCAATGTCTTCTCTTTCTCTCATTCCTATAGACTGACTAGGATATTAAATTCCTGGGTGAGTCATTGAACGTTTTCCTGTCTTTCTTTTTACTCTTGCTGTAATAGCTTGCTTGGAGAGATTCCTGCATTGAACATTGTCCTTTGCGTTTTCAAAGCATCCCTTGGGGGTTTAGCCATGTGAATTCTATTAGCCAGAAACTGGGAACCCCAGGATACTCTACAAATGAAATAATTATAATCGCTAGCTGCTCTTAGCAGTCTGTCCTGTCTCCAGAACACCAAACAAGCCCCACTTCATTCACACCCTGCACCACATGCCAGAAAACAAGCAGTGTTCAAAGAGGTGGTTTCCTTCTGAACGGGGAAACTGAGGCACAGAGAGGCGTGCGCATCTGCTTGCAGCCCCAAAGACAACTGACATCCTTATCAGGACCAGCCTTTCCTCGTGTTGTCCTAAACCCCTGAATTTCTTTGGGGCGAACCGGGAGTTTATCAGGTAACTGCGGTCCCCGCAAGGCGCAGAGCTGCGTGCCTCAGCCGGGCTCTCCGCTCACTGGGGTGGAACAGCACAACCTCGCCGGCATCAAAGCATCTGCACAGCTGGGATCAAGCCTGCGGCCTGGCCAACGCTCCGCAGCCCCGTTCCTCCTTCTGCTCCTTATCTCCCTGCGTACCAGCCGTGCTCCAGACACCCAGGCATCTCCCACGCAGCAGCTCTCCCTCCTCCAGACCTCCCGGGGATAGATGGGTAGACAACCCTTTCCTGCACCGCTCCCTGCTCCCCAGAGTTTTCACTCGAGATGATAAAGACCCCTTTGGCTGTGGGAAGCACGCAAGCACACGCTAGGAAAAATATAAGGTGCCCAGCACGGGCTGAGATGGGGCTCTCACCATTTTCAGTTTGTGCTGCTGTAGGATCTCGTCCAGGTTTTGCCTCTTCTTGTAGTTGAAGTAGAAGTTTTTGCACTGCGACACGGTCTTGGAGCCCACCATCCTGGCAATGGCTGACCAGTTCCGCCCATGCTCAAGGAGACCTGTGGTCGGAGGAGGGAGAAAGGAGAAGGGTTTAACACCAGATACGCTCACACAAGGGCAGTACTATCCACGTAGGATAGGAAACATCCTCCGTGCAAGCCAAACTCCACAGGAACAATATGGTCACTAGCAGCCGTCTGAATGGCTTCCTAGGCCAGGGGATGACCTACGAGAGCCTGTTTTTCTTTCCAAGGGGAAAAAAGGCACTATGCTGACCGCCTCCGGAACAAAATATGTCTCATAGCCGCATCTCAGCCAGCCACTGGGCAGTCAGGAGGGTGAGCGGTGCTCCCTTCCCCTTGGGACGGCTGCAGGAGGTGCTGGCATGCCCAGGAGAACTTGGGACAGCAGCTCTCAGTCCCTGCCATGAAGCAAAGGCTCTTCCCATCTTCCTGTGCCCCAGCGATGACCGTGACCGGGGTGACAAGGCAGTTCAGGGGGTTGGAGCAGAGAGTCCTGTTATGGATTGGGAGGAAAAGTCCAGGCAGGGAAGCGGCAGCACACAGGCAGGGAAGCCCAGGTGATGTCCTGGGCTGGGAAGAGGCGTGCCAGGGGATTAGTGCTGATCACAGGCTCATGAGCAAAAGCAGCTTCCCAGGTCAGGTATCACACCAAGGGCTGGCAATTCTGGCCAAACGGTGCCACCCGAGCACAGGGCTCCTGCCAGCACCGGGGTAACCCAGCAGGGTGGAGGAGGAAGAAGAGGAGGAAGGAGCGAGTCAGCACTCCCAGTCTCTGCAGGGGTGTCTGGGCACCCCTGCTCCTGCAGCTGGAGGTGGGAGTCACAACCACAGACCAGGGATGGGTGCAGCAGCACCTTGGTCCCTCCATCCCAGGCTCCTGGAGGTGGCCCAGGTGAGGACCACCCAGGCTTTCTGGGAAATAAAGCCTCGCTGCCTGCAATCCTTCCTGGTGCATGGTCAGTCCTCCTGGTGGTGCCTGGTGGGGCCGACACCAGTCTGCAGGACGCTGCCGGCCCGGCTGGCTCCTGGCTGCCCCGGTGATGGCACCCTCAGGCCAACAGCCCCCCTGGTCCTCCCCTGCACCTTGCGTAGGGCGCAGGACAGAGACACGATGAGCCCAGAGGCACAGTACTAACACAAAAGGTGACTTCAAGATGAAAATCAGCAGGGAAGAGACCTGCTAAGAGCATCTTCCACTTTTGTTAGGGTTTTTTCTGCCCAGAAGCCACCAACCAGAGAGCCTGGGAACAGGCACTGCTCAGGCATCTCTTGTCGTCCATCCCCAAACCCCTCCCTGGCTGCTCTGACACCTTGGGGCTCAGGACCACAGTGAGTCCCACATCAGGGCTCCCGTGCGTGGCTTTGCTTGTGCCCGGGAGCTGCAGGAGCCGTGCCCCAGCCCTGCTGCCAGCCTTCAGCCAAGCTGCTGCCGTGTGTCACCTCTGAGCCGCAGCCCGGACCTAAGTGCCAGCCCAGCCTCTGCTCCAGCCCAACAACAAACCCCCCCCACCCCTGGCCGGACTGATCTTAGCCCAGCCACAAGCAATCAGGGCCCCAGGGATGAACCTCCGGCCAGGATCCGTGCGGCCGTGCAAGGAGAGGGCACGGCATGGGGGCTGTGGGTATGTCCGCGTTGAACAGACGGCACCACATACCCCAGGAGAGATGAAACCCTCCTCCCTGCTTCCCAGGTCCTGGAGAAAACCAGCAGTACCCAGCACAGCAGGAGTTAACATCCAGCCAGTGCCTAAATCCTGCCCCGTCCCAGCACCAGGGCTTATCAAATTGCATGTAAGAGGCAGGCATCACACCGCGCTGAGCACCACAAAAGGCCAAGGCAAGCCAAGAAACAAGTTTGAGCTTTAACTCTGCAACTCCCAGCCTTGCTTCAGCCAAACCCACGACCTCCGTCACCCCGTTGGCAGGCTGGGACTTCTCAAAAATAATAATAAATTAAAAAAAAGGATGTCCGGCCACCAACCGCGAGAGATAACGAGCTGGGTGGGAGTCCTCCCCCCGCAGTTGCTGAAGGCTGCAGGGGAAAACAGGACAGTCCCCTGTGTCACAACCCATCGCCGCCCTCCAAAGCAAACAAGCAGCTCGGCCCCCTTTGCTCACCGCCGTGCCAGTGGCCCCGCACCAAGTGTGACAGCCAGGAGCCGTTTGCTGCACCCTGGGCAAAGCCCCGAAATGCCAACACTGGCAGCGGCATGCTGT